CCCTGACACTAACGCTAAACCCTAACCGTGACCCTGACTCTGACCCTAACCGTGACCTGACCCTGAACCTGACACTAACCCTTACTCTAAACTCTAAACCTAACAAATATCCTAATCCTAACACTAAACCTAACCCGTACCCTAAAACTAACCCCTAACCCTATCCCTAAAGCTTACCCTAACTCTAAACCTAGCCCGAATCCTAACACTAAAACTAACCTGTACCCTAACTCTAAACCTAACCTGTACCCTAACGCTAAATCTTTAGGCCAAAACAAAATTAAAATTAAAATATATAGAGATATTCAATAACATTTTGCTGCATGTGGATATCCAATTGTTCTTCTCTACAAAAGCCTTGGGCCTTTGTCAAAGTTCAGGGTTTATTTCTGAACTCTTGTTACACTGATCTATTTCCCTATCTTGACACAAATGTCATGCTATTTTGATTACTATAGCCATAATTCTTTCTTGAGAAAGAGAGAGAGTGGGAGCCTGTGAGCAGGGAAGGGGAAAAGTGGCAGAGGGAAAGGGAGAGGGAGAATCCCAAGCAGGCTCCATGTCCAGAATGGCCATCTCACAACCCTGAGGTCATAACGAAATCAAGAGTATGATGCATAACTGACTGAACCACCCAGGTGTCCCCCCATATAATTTTTTAAAGAACTTATTTATTTATTTATGAGGAGAGAGAGAAAGGTTAGAACACCAAGAGAAGAACAGAGGGAGAGGACCAGCAGACTTCACGCTGAGCACAGAGCCCAATGTAGGCTTGATTCCATGGCCCCAAGATTGTGACCTGAGCCAAAATCAAGACTTTGGATGCTTAACTGACTGAGCTACTCCAGCAACCTGTCCCACCATATAATTCTTAAAATCAGGCAGTGTTAGCTCTCTAACTTGGCTCTTTTTCAGAACCATTTTACCATTCTTAGGTCCTTTGCATTCCATATGAATTTTAGAACCAGCTTGTAAATTTCTACAAAAAACCTTACAGTAATTTTGATTGGGATTGTGTAGAATTCATATATAATACCTGAGTGGAAATAGCGTCTTAACAATATTGAGTCTTCTGGGTTGCCTGGGTGGTTCAGTAGGTCGGGTGTCTGACTCTTGATGTTGAATCAGGTTGTGATCTCAGGGTTGTAAGATCAAGCCCTGTGTCCAGCCCCACAGTGGGTGTAGAGCTTGCTTGGCATTTTCTCTCTCTCTTACCCTCTCCAAAATACCCCTCAACAAAACAATATTGAGTCTTCTGACTGATGAACGAAGCAATATATCTCTATTTCTCTCCATTAAATTTTCTTTGATCTCTCTGAATAATGTTTTGTAAGTTTCAGTATACCTGTCTTTTGCATAGTTTATCAAATTTATCTCATAGGGATTTCACATTTTTTGATACTATGGTATCAAAACTTTACTACCTAAATTTTTTTCTGGATGCTCTTTGTCAGGTTGACAAAGTTCCCCTCTAAGTTTGCAGGGAGTTTTCAACAGTGAAACATGTTAGGTGTTGTCAAATGCCTTCTCAGCATCCCTGGGGATGATAATATGGTATTTTCTTTTTTAGCTTATTAGTGAATTACAGTGATTGATATGCAAATGGTAAAACTAATCCCGCATTCCTGGGATAAACCTCACTCTGTCATGATGTATATACAATGTTGAAACTGATCTGCTAAAGTTGCATTTAGATTTTTGCATCTATGTTTATGAGACATAGTGATCTGTAATTTTCCGTTCCTATGATGTTTTTGATCTTACTTTCAGTTTATTAGTGGCTTCATAGAATGAATTGAGGAGTATTTCCTTATCTTCAACTTTTTGGAAGAGTTTGTGGAAAACTGTTGTTATTTATTCCTTAAATGTCTGGCAGAATTCACAATGAAAAGTGTTATGAACTGAACTGCATCCCCTCAAAATTCACATGTTAAAGCCACAGTAGAATAGGATTTGTGTTCCTATTTAAAAAAAGGAAGAGATACCAGAGCTCTCTACACATGCAGGAAGGACACTCTGAGAAGGTGGCTTTCTACAAGCCAGGTAGAGAGGTCTTGCCAGAAATTGAATTTTCTATTACCTTGATCTTGGACTTCTAGCTTCCAGAACTGTGAGAAAATAAATTTGTCATTTAAACCATCCAATTTGTGGTATTTAGTTATGGTAACCCTACCAGACTAATCCACAAGGCATTGGGCCTAGAAGTTTGGATTGAATCAAGAGTTGGACGCTCAACCGACTGAGCCACCCACGTAGAATTGATAATTCAAGAATTTGACTTAAAGGTCTGATGAATGTAAATAAACTGTCCTGTGAAAAGACTGAACAGGGGCAGTTGAGTGGATCAGTCAGTTAAGCATCTTGGTTTCAGTTCAGGTCATGATCTCAGGGTCCTGAGACTGAGCCTCATGTTAAGCTTGGTGCTCAGCCCAGTCTGCTTGTCCCTCTCCCTCTGGTTCTCTCCAGATTTCTCTCTCAAATAAATAAGTAAGCATTTAAAAAAAAAGACTGAACAAACTTAGACTTTTACCAACAACATAGGAGAATGCTTACTTTTTCAACATTCTTGCCACTGGGAATTTGCAAATGTTTAAACCTTTTACATTCTCTTAGTGAAAACTATACATCCTAATTTATATTTTAAAATCATATGTAACATGCTGATCTTTTCAGTTATTTTTAAAAAGATTTTATTTATTTATTTACTTATTTATTTGAGAGAGAGAGAGAGAGAGAGAGAAAGAGAGTGAGCATGCATAAGCTGGGGAAGGGCACTGAGAGAAGGAGGGGCAGAGAATCTCAAGCAGACTCAGCAGTGAGCAAGGAGCCTGATCCAGGGCTATCATTACCTGAGCCAAAACCAAGAGTCAGATGCTTAACTGACTGAGCCACCCAGGTGATCCCATTATTTATATGTACATTTTTTTCCACATTCCCTATCCATTTTTTTAACCTTATTAATTTATAAGAGCTCTTTTCATGTTAGTGCAATTAACCCTTTGTTATGCATTACTAATATTTCTTCTGTATTTGATGTTTGGTTTTCCTTAGGGTATTTTTCTATACAATTTTTCTAAAATTTATGTAGTCAATTTTGTCATTCTTTTCCCTTCTGGCTTCTGGATTTATCATTCTTTAAAAAGGTCTTTTTCCTCCTCAAAGATTATAAAAAGATTCACTTAAGTTTTCTTCTAAAAATTTTTTTTTTCGTTCACTTAATCTTGGGCCAAAATGGAATTAAGTTTAGTATAAGGACTATCATAGTTATTCATCCAATTTTATGTTTTCACTATTTATTGCTTGGTCCTTCCTTTTGCCACTAATTTGAGATGCCATCTTTATTATACACCTCCTCCAAAATTCACACTGTATCTGGCTTCTACATCTAAACTCTATTCTGTTTCACTGACTTGTCTATTTCTGTACCTGTACCAAACTATTTTAATTTCCATAGCTTTCTAATTGCTTTTATATTATGTATAGCAGATTCCTGTCTCTCCATACTCCCTTGTGCTTTTATTTTCCAGAATTTTTAAGAAAGATTTTATTCATTTATTCATGAGAGATACACAGAGAGAGGTAGAGACAAAGGCAGAGGGAAAAGCAGGCTCCCTGCAGGGAGCCTGATGCAGGATTTGATCCCGGGAACCTGGGATCATAACTCTGATCACAAAAGCAGATGCCTAACCACTGAGCCACTCAGAATTTTTCAGAATTTTCTAGGCTGGTCTTTCATAATATTTAGTATTATTTTATAACATTTTCATAGCTAATGTCCAGGCTTATAGAGGAAAACAAAACAAAATAAACAATAATCTGTTTTTGATGGAGCTCTCACATATTTATAGAATAATATATGGAGAAATAGGTTTCTTACAAAACTGCATTCTTATGGTCAAGAATAAGATTCTTTTTTTCTATTTATTCAAGTCTTTTTTTTATGTCCTTTTTTTTTTTTTGCCTTTGGCAAAATTTTCAATTCTCTTCTTAGAGGTAAGGCACATTTCTTATTAGGTATATAAGTTGGTATTTTCTCTTTTATAATTGTTATAAATGGGACCCTTCCTATATTTTTCTAACTGGTTAACACATTTATGAAAGGTATTTATTTTTGTCTTGTTTTGGTTTACTGAATTTTTTGCATATTTTATTAGGAAAAAATTTCAGACTTAAAAAAAGCTATAAAAACAGAACAAAATATATGCAACTAATAAATTAATGAACACTACATTGGCTAACTGATTTAAATTAAAAATAAAAGGCAAAAACACAGAACAAAAGATTCACCCATTATTAGTATTCTGCCCCCAGTTTACATCATATCTCCCTTTTTATATAAATGTATGTAAACACACACATATACAGAAATGATAACTTACATACACCACACCCCTTTACTCACTAATACTTATGTGTATATTTTCTAAAAACAGACATTCTCTTAAATAACCAAATTATTACTAAATTCAGGAAATTTAACAATACTATATTATTATTATTTAACCTACAGTCCTTATTTCAATTTTACCAGTTATACCTTTATTATATTTTAACCAGTATTTCTAGATCCTTATTGTTTCTCATAACTTGTTAGATTATTCTTTGGAGTTTTATACGAACAAAGAAATAACATCTAAGAATAACAATTTTGCCTTCTCTTTTCCTCTATTTATTCCTCTTAGTATAATTTCTCAAAGCCTTATGCTAGGTTGGTCTTATCACAAAGAGGTCACATATCTACATTTGAAAAGGGTTCTGTAACTATTCTCTGCAAAGTAGACGTATAGAAAAAAGTACCAGCCTACAGACTATTAGTTCAAGTCCTAGTTATGCTACTAATGAGCTATGTAATGCTGGGAAAAATCCTTAACCTCTATGAACTTCCTCATCAGTAACATGAAAAAGTTAAGACAGATAATCTCTAAATACTTTTCAGTGCCAGAATTCTATGTTTCTGTAAGTTATTTAATTAAAAAGAAAAGAAATCAAATATGCCTCACCCTTTTTTCCAGCAAGTTTTTGGTTTCTCCTGATCTGTTCTCTATTCTTGAGTCTAGTTGAATACATATTCTTCCCTTTACCTAGAATCTTTAAAGCAGGATCCTGCATTCTTGGAAAATAAATGTATTTTTAAAATTATTATCATGTTCTCTATAACCATTCACAGAGAATCATCCTAAATCTCAACTCAATTTTTAAAATAGAAAGGTATTTTACTGAGATCCTGTCAAGCAGCATGGCAGTTTAAAATATGGACATGGCTCCTAAGTAAGCTGCAGATAATTCTGTGACAGGCATGCCAGTCATTGTGATTTCTAGTCTCTTCTTTGTGCCACCTGTGGGTTTCTCCCCTTTAGGAGCAGTCATTTCCAAGAGTCTCTTGCGCCTTACTCCCCAAGTTGGCATACTACTATCTATTCACCTAGGGAAGAGATAGGTTCTTTGCAAGAAAAGAGGACTTGTCATGTGGGATTACATGATCAAAAACTGCAAAATACTGGAATAAGAACAGATACATAGGTGAATGGGACACAGTAGAACCAGGAAATAAACCTACATATATTAGTCAATTAACTTAGAATAAAGGAGCCAAAATCATACAGTGAGGAAAGGACAATCTTTTCAATAAATGACGTTGGGGAAACTGGATAGCTAAATGTCAAACCATGAGACTGGGCCTCAATCCTTTCATTTCAAAACGGATTAAAGACTTGATTTGAAGACCTGAAATCATAAAACTCAGAGAAAAAACCCAGGGGATAGGTACCTTGACAGGAGTCTGGGCAATATTTTGGATTTGGCACCAGAAGCAAAGGCAACAAAAGCAAAAATGAACAACTAGGGCTACATCAAATTAAAAATTTTCTTCACTGCAAAGGAAACCATCAACAAAATAAAATAAAAAAGCAAGCTACTGAATGGGAAAAAATAATTGCAAATCACCTATCTGATAAAGGGTCAACATTCAAATATATAAGGAACTCCTACAACTCAACAGCAAATAAACAATTCAATTCAAAAATGGAAGAGGAATAAAAAGACAATTTTCCAAAGACATCCAAATGGCCAAAAAGTATATGAAAAGCTGTTCAACATCACTAATCAGCAGGAAAATGCAAATAAAAACCACAATGAGATATTACCTCATAAATGTTTGAAAGAACAAGTGTTGTTGAGGATGTGCATTATTGGTGGGAATATACTTGGTGCAGGCACTATGGAAAACAGTATAAAGGGTCCTCACACACAAAAAATGAAACTACCATATGATCCAACATTTCCACTTCTGAATATTTATCCAAAGGAAATAAAATTACTATCTTGAAAAGGTATCTGCACCCCTGTGTCTACTGCAGCTTTATTTACAATAGCCAAGACATAGAAACAACTTAAGTATCCACTGATGGGTAAGTGAATAAAGAAAATTGGTCTATAAACACACACAAACATATGCATATATACATATACATACACACACAAAATGGAATATTATTTAGCCATAGGAAAGGAAATCCTGCTTCTTGTGACAATGTGAAAGGATCTAGAGGGCATTATGTTAAGTGAAATAAATCAGATGGAGAAAGACAAATACTATATGATTTCATTTACTTGTGGAATCTAAAAAAAATCCCCAAACTCGAGGATATAGAGAATAGATTGGTGGTTTACAGAGGCAGGGGGGTGGGGAGTGGGTGAAATGGGTAAAGGATCAAAAAGTACAGACTTCCATTTATTAGATAAATAAGTCCTGGGGACGGAATGTACAGCATGGTAACTGTAATTAACAATACTGTATTGTATAGCTGAAAGTTCCTGAGAGAGTAAATCTTAGAAATTCTCATGACAAGAAAGAAAATTTTGTAACTGTGTGATGATGGATGCTAACTAAACTTAATTTAAAAAGAAAGAATGGAAATTAGCATTAGGCTGAAATCCAACAAATCTCCCTTTACTCTGTCCTTTAAAAAAAAAGTAGAAGAGTTTTCTGAGTTAAAAAAAACTGTACAGTAATTAAGGCAACAATAATAAAAAATAAAGTTCTTCACTTAGGGATAATTGTACACTGACTCTAGTGTCCTAAGCATAGAATTTATCCATAAGGTCTGTAGCATACCTGGAGATAAAGATATAATTTGGTTGCATACCTGAAATTCTTAGTTGATGAGTTATTAGTTGTTTGATCCTCACAGACAAATATCTTGGGTAAAATCTTTTCTGGCATCTTATACATGTCATCTATGTGCTTTGCATCTCTGCCTTTCAGTCTGGATGATCTCCTTAACACACGTGGAATGTCTTGGTCAGATTTATTTTCCACTGAATTTGAATTTCCCTTGTTGTTTAGTGGATCACAAGAGGGGACATTTTGATGAACCAAAGTTTGCAATCCAAATGGATTTGGATCTCCTAGAGTCTGTAATAAGATGTAAATACATACACAAAAATCATAACAATGCAAAAAAATTTATTTATTTGTTTGTTTATTTATTTTTAAGATTCTATCTATTCATTCATGAGAGACACAGAGGGAGAGAGGCAGAGACACAGGCAGAGAGAAAGGCAGGCTTCATGCAGGGAGCCCAATTGCGGGACCTGATCCTGGGACCTCAGGATCATACCCTGGGCCAAAGGCAGGCACCAAACTGCTGAGCCACCCAGGGATCCCCCATGCAAAAAATTTAAAATGAAAAGAAATTAAGTTTTATCTTATCCTTTGATTACACAAAAATGCCTCTTGTAAGATAAAGTACAAAAATCCACAGACCACATAGTTTTAAAATTTAATAATAAAAGACCATGCAGATTTAAAAGACAAGAAGAGCATAAGTAAAAATTTTTATCAATATTCAACCTTAAAATTCAAAAGAAAAACTAAGGTTACTCTGGGTGCTTTAATTTCACAGGAAATAGGTAGCAAAAAATGATGAGAGACTTAAAAAAAATAGAAATGTCATAATAGACCAGATCCATGTTCTATTTAGCCCAGTGTTTGTTGTTTGACAGCAGGAAGTATTATTTCATGGGAAAAGATTGCATATAACCCTCCATTATACTGATTTTAAAAGGCTACCAGTACATCATGAATGGCTCTAATCTCCCCTTAATAATCCATTATAGATTTGACTTTCATGTAGATACATATATATGTTTATACATATCATGTAAACCTTTCTTGAGCTTATTTATATATCCAGCTTGCAAAGCTTTTCAGGATAACAAGTTCCATATTTTTATTACAGCTGAGCAAGTGTATTTATTTGTTCTAAACCAATCTCTTTTTTGCTTTTAAAGGGTTTCTTTTTTTGTAATAGTTGCTAAATTCATGCCCACTCTATTAATACCAATCAATTGTAATCATCTACATTATATTTATATTACCTCTTTTCAGATTAAAATACTGGAGTGTTTAATTTAACCTTCATGCCCTGATTAATTTTTCTTTTTCTGGATTTTTTTAGTTTTACTATATCTGTTTTGACATTTTTTTAAAGATTTAAAAATTCATAAGAGACACAGAGAGAGACAGAGGCAGAGACACAGGCAGAGGGAGAAGCAGGCCCCATGCAGGGAGCCCGATGTGGGATTTGATCCTGGGACCCCAGGATCATGCCCTGGGCTGAAGGCGGCATTAAACCACTGAGCCACTCAGGGTTCCCCATGTTTTTTATGAGAATTGCATGCAGGATTATGCCAGGTATGTATTTTGCAACATGAGCTTAGTAACATTTTATTCACATCGTCCCAGGGACGTTCATAAAAGTAGCCTGGTAATAAAAAAAAAAAAAAGAAAGAAAGAAAGAAAGAAAGAAAGAAAGAAAGAAAGAAAGAAAGAAAGAAAGAAAGAAAGAAAGAAAGAAAGAAAGAAAAGAATTCAAATGACCATCATTATTGAATTAAATAAATTATGTTTTGTATATGTACACACACACGTAAAATATCCGTAGCAAGTAAAAAGATTTAAGAAGTATGCTACATTTGCTGACCCAGATAACCAATATGTATTACAAAATTTAAAAAACAAGTTGCAAAATGTCAACTGTACCTTAATAAAAATATTTTTTAAAAGTTGCAAAGCATTATGTATAATATAGTCTCATTTATATAAAAATAAACTTATATATAACATGCATAGAAAATATTGGAGACAGATACACCAAACTGTTAATAGTGATTATCTCTGAAATGTGGACTTTTTATTATATTATTATGTATATTGCTGTAATGTTTGATTTTTTTATATATATAATGACAGTGTACTACTATTGCAGTCAGGAAAAAAAATAAAATTCCTTTATAAAGGAAAAAAAATGTCAGCATACAAAAGGGACCCGGCTAGTGGTAGCCCACTGTAGGGTCTCTAGCCATACTACTGCAGGAATTCTAAACCCCAGGACAGCATCCTCAGACATAGATTGCAAAGTTCTGCTGAAGCCAGGCATAACATTTTCCCTCTTGGGACAGTTCAACCGCATATATTCTATTCTCAACTAGAAATTAATGTGGGGTATCTCATCCCTACTCTGCACCCAGGTAGGTATATTTTCTGAGCTAACAGAAAAAAAATTCTGGCAAATAATTATTTCCTTCCTATGTGTAAGCAATCTAATGATATGTTTTCTAAGGTCTTTGATGAGAAACATATATTTTACATTTAAACTCCTTGAAAATTCTACCCCTCGAGAAAGATCAGTTTGTTCTTCAAATTCAAAAAGCATCTTCTGAGTGTTAATATTTGGGAAGAAGACTTCAATTTAAAATAAAGTATATGGGTAATGAAAACTTGGTAAAGGTCAATATAAAAGGCAAAATCATAAACTTACATTTGAATTTACATGCTGCGGTGAAAGATGCTTATCTTGCAGCTCCCCTACCTTGGAATCTTGTTCAAAGAGTGGAGCAGAACAAAGAGATTCAGAATTCACCTCAGTTATTTGTGTACAATCTTCACTGGTCTGAGACATCTTGGGTTCCCCTCCTGAATATTCATTTCCAGCACTGAGACTGCTGCCTCCCTCTTCTCTGTGACAGATGGGTTCCACGTTGCCTTCTGATAACGTGTTTAGGGCTGCTAACAATTCAGCTGGCAACCCATCATCCTTTGTGTTTTCTAGTAAATCTCTGTGACATGTCAAAGATACTGATGTGGAACTCGGGGAGTTGCTCAATGGGTTGGTCAACTCTTTAGATTCAAAATCACTCATTATTTCAAACAGTCTTTCCTCCTGAGTGATTTCTGGTGATGTAAGTAACTTTTCTAAGGCAGACACAAAGGTTTTAAGAGAACTTTCTTCATCCTGGGTTTCTTCAGAATTCATGGTCAACAGGGCTTCCTTTCCAGACTCAGAAAACTTATTTGGTACTGCTAAGATCTCCTTTGGCTCCACTAACGATTTCTCCTTTACAACCATCACATCAGATACTTTAGTAGCAGTACCTGAGAGAAAGCTAATTTCAGGAGAGTTTCTGTCTGTGCTTAGTTCCTGTGTATTCCAAATAGAAATTCCATCAATAGAACATATCTCAAATTTTAAAATGAAAACTTCATAGTTTTCTAGTAAATTACCACTAAAAAGTTTTTATCAATTTTCTTCCCCTTCCAAAAATAAAAATATTTTTCTTTACTAATTTCCTATACCAAATTGCTAATGATTCTGAATACATGGTTAAACATTCACAGTGGACCAAGAGTAAAACTGGCAGAGTCATAATTATAGATGCCAATTATCTATTCAGCTAAGTTTAAATTATCTCTGCTAAGAGGCAGAGATGGCATGAATACTTAGTAGCTAATCTTAATTAATAATTAGTAGCTCATCTCAAAATTTCATTGCAGTTAATAATTGTAAAATTCTCTGTTGCCTAAAATCACTATTGGGGTGGCTCAGTAGGTAAGCTTCTGACTCTGGATCGCAGGTCATGTCTCGATCTCAGTGTGGTGGGTTCAAGCCCTTCATTGGGCTCCACGCTGGGTGAGCAGACTACTAAGAAATCAATCAATAGATAAAACTTTTTAAAACTCACTAATAAATTTTATAAAAATCATTAAACAGGAATAAAATTGGATAGTTTCACCTTCTTTTTAATACCCACCTCTGTTGAATGTATAAATATGAAGTAAAAAGGCCAAAGGAGAGAAGATCAGAAGGGAAAGGGGGAGAAACAAAGACACAGCTCTATGTAAATTTTATGAGCCCTAGCTATGGCATATGCACTCAACCACTATGCAGCCCTAGATCTGCATTGTGGTTGATTTAAACCCGTAACATAAAACTTTTATTTCTAAGTGACCATTACTTTTCAAAGACATCATCTTAACAGGTTATACCTGTTCTTAGAATTTTTCCAATGCTCAAAATATTATTAGACTTCCTCTTTTGAAATCGCTTTCGAAAACCCTTTCTAGGCCATTCAAAAAACTCAGTCTTAATAATTTGAAATTTTTTTTTACCACTGAATACTCTTTATTTGTGAGGTGTGTGGGTGGCTCTGTTGTTTCAGTGTTCAACTCTAAGTTTCACCTCAGATCCTGATCTTATGGGTCATGAGATGAGTTGAGCTGTGTTTAGCAGGAATCTGCTTGGATATTCTCTCCCTCTGTCCCTTCCCCCACTCGTGCTCTGTCTCTTTCAAGTAAATACAGAAAATCTTGTTTTTAAAAACCTGTTAATTTGCATGACCTTAAATAATAGAATGGGTTTCAATGATTTTTGGCTATTTCTAAATATCAAATCCACCTTCCACTGACACACCACTCTGACAGAATACATTATAATTTGTAAGCTCTCTGGTATTCTGATTTGATTTGAATAAAAGAAGTGAAAACCATTTTGTTTCCCCCTCTTTTCTATCTACCATAATTTATCTTCTCTGTATACACCATACAAACCTTAAGAAGATACAGTTATTTTTTAGTAATGTAAACTATACATTTTAGAAAATTTAGAAAAAAACTCAAGAACCTTGGGGCACCTGGGTGGCTCAGCAGTTGAGCACCTGCTTTTGGCCCAGGGCGTGATCCCAGGGTCCCGGGATCAAGTCCCACATGGCTCCCTGCAGGGAGCCTGCTTCTCCCTCTGCCTTTGTCTCTGCCTCTCTCTGTGTCTCTCATAAATAAATAAATAAAATTTAAAAAAACTTAAGAATCAGATTCTATCCATTTTTTAAATCACAGTACAAGGTCGCCCTCCTATCTGAAGAACTTATATCTACTAAATTCAAGGCCATAGATGCAATAAAGTATATATATTGGACTCTGCCCTAAAGGAACTTAATTTCTAAATGAAAATTAAGGGAATAAATACATAAGACAATAAATAAATATAAATAAGGTAAAAAAAAAACGTATGAACTCAAATGAATGGCACGAACAAAAGGGCCTGGTGTGTTACGAGAAGCTTTCTGGAAGGAAGAAACAGAAGGCAGTGAAGGGTTTTCATGGTTGCTAAAAAATGGTTGGTTAAACCAAGGTAACTAGGTTTCTTTACTGCAAGACTTTTCAGAGCATGTGCATTAAAATCTCTGAGACTTTAGGATATAGTGTTCTCCAAACTTCTTTGTCCATAGAGATCCTTTTTCTGACAAGATCGATTAATGTCATAGGATCCAAGTGATGGACAAATACTGATATAGTCAATGAATAATGAACTCTTAAGATGGAGCAATTACTTTGGTCAAGATCACCGAAGTTATCTAAGATAGAACCATATAGGAAAAAGGACTTGACCCAAAAATTAAAGATTTTTAAAAGTGGAGAAGAAGGGTAAAACACATATTAAGGATCAAGTAGGTACCAGATGCCATGAGCTATCACTGTTCTCAGTCCTCACAATAATCCTGTGAAATGGGTATTGCTACTGGTATTCTACACATGAAAAATGGACATATTTTTCCTTGAAACACACACTATCTGGTTCCAAATTTTATGTTCTTTCCCTTGCTTTTTGGCTCCTGACTTGAACAAAGGCATGGAGGTGGTAATGTATAAGGTATAGTTAAGATCAAATAAGGTACAGGCTTGGCAGGGTTAACCTGGGGAAGTCCTGGACTGCTTGAGTCTGCTGTGGACAGTCAGTCTCACAGTCCTCTGATTCCCCAATAGCACCAAACAGAAAGCAAAGCGTGAATGAGAACTCAGTATATGTGGTTACTGAGTAACAACTGGAAGATGCAAAAGCGGTATCTAGCAGAAAAATTAAATGAACTGTGGTAACAGACAAACCAACAGAAGGTGTTTTAGCTACATCATCTCAGCAATTAGTTTGATAAGTTTCATACTTCTCTTCTAGATATATGAGACTAAAAACACTGGATATGAAATGTAGATCAAGGTACATTCTAAGGAAAATGGTGGAGTAGAAGGACCCTAAGCTCACCTCATCCCACAGATACAACTAAGTAAACTTACACTGGTGTAAATAATTCAGAAAATGACCCAAAAACTGGCAGAACAAACTCCATAGCTATGTATAGAGAAAAGGCCAGACCGAAGACAGTAGGAAGGGCAGAGATGTAGTGGGGAGCTAAACAGACCTGCAGGACCCTCTCTGGGAGGGAGGAACTCCACTGGGATGGAGATAGGAGAAAAACATACTATCACACTGAAAGGAAGCCTGCATGAGGAAGACAAATTCCCATAATATTTGGCTTTGAAAACCAAAGGGGTCGAATTTCTTGATCTCTTAAACCACTGGGACTTAAAACCTAGAACTTTCAAAATTTGCTGGCTCTGTCAGAAGGGTAAAACAGTCCCCACTTAAAGAAACAGCACAAAAAAAAAAACAGCCTGCAGAGATACACCAAAGCAGCAGCAATTTGAAAAATTCCTGGGGAACAGGGGTGGGAGATTCGTTTATTCATCTCAGAGCATGTGATGGAGGAGCAGGGATCCTTGCAAGACCTCACCAGAAACAAAGGAGCTGACAGGTGCCATTTCCTACCCCGTCCACCCCCAGATGAAGCACAAGCCCATGTGGGGGAACCAGCAGGACAGGATGCAGACACTTGCTACCTAACTTGCTAAACAATGCACCTCTCACTCCTGCAGATTTTATGGATCCACCCTTTCCAATAAACTCTCTGCCAGAGTCCAAACAAAACAATGCAATGAGCCTCCCAGGGTGTTAAGCAGCCCCAGTAGGGGCCAACACCACTCCAAAGTGACTCTTGCTTCACGGAGAAGGAAAGACAATCACACATTATCAGTCCAAATGCAACTCCAGCAGTGGGCTAGGGGCAAAATGCTGGTCTAACTGCAGGCATTGCCCACCAACAAAAGCTTCTAGGGGGACAACACAGGGAATGTACCCTGCAGTTTGGTGATACTGCCTCTCTGGCTAATGCCTGGTCTGTCTGACTCAATTCAATCCCAAGGTTTTCCCAAACTGGGTCACTAGCAACACAAGAACCACATACTGCCCACAACAGATAAGTAAAGCCAAATAAGGGGCACTTGGGTGCTGCAATCAGTTAGTCATCCGACTATTGGTTTCCGCCCAAGTCATGATCTCTGGGTCATGAGATCAAGCCCCACATTGGGCTCTGTGGTGACTAGAGTCTGCTTAGAGTTTCTCCTTCTCCCTCTGCTGCTCCTCCGTCTCTTTCTCTCTCTCAAATAAATAAATAAATCTAAAAAAAAAAAGATACATAGGGGCACCTGGGTGGCTCAGTTGGTTAAGTACCTGCCTTTGCCTCCGGTCATGACCCCAGGGTCCTGGGATGGAGCCCCAATGAGCAGGGAGCCTGTTTCTCCCTCTCTTCCCAGCCAGTGCTCTCTCTTGCTATCTCTGTCTCTCTCAAATAAATAAACAAAATCTTTTGTTAAAAAACAAACGAACAAATAAATCAATAAAAAGATACATGGAGACAAATGAAACAAAAAACACAACAGTCCAAAAGTTTGGGATGCAGCAAAAGCAGTTCCAAGAAGGAAGTTTATAGCAATACAGCAAGGGAAAGAGTCGACAAACAACAACAAATAATCAACAAAACTAAAAGACTGGGACAAAATATTTGCAATGACATATCTGATAAAGAGTTAGTTAGCATCGAAAATACACAAAGAACCTATACAGCTCAATACAAAGAAACCCCCAAATAGTAGAATTTTAAAAATGGGCAGAAGACAAGAATAGACATTTCTCCAAATAAGACATACAGATGGCCAAGAAACACATGAAAACATGCTCAATACCACTAATTTATCAGGGAAACAAAAATCAAAACCACAATGAGGCATCCCTTCACACCTGTCAGAATAGATAAAATCAAAACACAAGAAACAAGTGAGGATATAGAGAAAAAGGAACCCTTGCACACTACTGGAGGGAATGCAAACTGGTGCAGCCACTGTGGAAAACAGCACTGCGGTTCCTCAAAAAATTGAAAATAGAATTACTGTATGATCCACTAACTGCACTACTGGGCATTTACCCAAAGAATATGAAAACGCCAATTTGAAAGGATATATGCATCCCTCTATTTATTGCAGCATTATTTACAATAGCCAAATTATGGAGGCTGCCCAAGTGTCCATTGATAGATGGGTAAAGAAGTAATGATATATATGTATACAAGAACATTATTAGCCATAAAAATATAATGAAATCATGCCATTTCCAACAACATACATTGATCTAGAGAGTATAATTTAGAGAAAGACAAATATAATACGATTTCACTATGTGGAATTTAAGAAACAAAGCAAAGAGGCAAACTAAAAAAACATTTTTTTAAAGATTTTATTTATTTATTCACGATAGAGAGAGAGACAGAGGCAGAGACACAGGCAGAGGGAGAAGTAGGCTCCATGCCGAGAGCCTGACGCGGGACTCGATCCCGGAACTCCAGGATCGTGCTGGGCCAAAGGCAGGCGCCAAACCGCTGAGCCACCCAGGGATCCCCCAAAAACATTCTTAACTATAGAGTACAAACAGATGGTTATCAGAAGGGAGGCGGATGGGGAGGATGGGTGAAATAGGTGAAGAGAATTAAGAGTACACTTATCTTGATTAGCACTAATTTACAGAATTGCTGAATCACTATACTGTACATCTGAAAATAATATAACACTGGATATTAACTATACCATTATTAAAATACAGAAACACAGATCAAGAAAATATGATTTTATTAGAGATAAGGAAGAACAGTATAAGAAACACTGGAAAGGATTTTTAGACAAGAATATATTTCTGTCTATTGTAATGGTTTAGTCATATTCTTATGCAAGGAAAGAACCTAAATGGGATTGATACTTTAATCAATACAATTTTTTAAAAAAGATTTTTTTGAGAGAGGGGGTGAGGGTGAGAGGGGGAGGGAGGGAGAGAGAGAGAGAGCACGCATGAGCAGGGAGAAAGGGTTAGAGGGAGAGGGAGAAGCAGACTCCCCGCTGAGCTGGGAGCCCAATGCAGGACTTGATCCCAGGGCCCTGGATCATGACCTGAGCCAAAAAGGCACATGCTTAACTGACTGAGTCACCCAGGCACCCTAATCAATATAATTTTTAAATATAATCTAAACACATGATCTGCATAGCTAATCTCTGTTACATAGACCAACCTTTTCTGGGTTTGGCAAAATTTCAGAATTTTCAGCCTCAGGCCCTAGAAGATAACAATATGTTTTATTCCAGTTTTACGAAAGCACTAAAAACATGCTTACTTAGCATTTCTTAATCAATATAACTTGAAATGCATTCATGTAATATATGTAACTATTATACTTACTTATTGGTATAAAAGTATCACAGGGGCAATAGAGTTACAAAAGAAAATTCTTAAAAAAAAGAAAAAGAAAATTCTTTCATTTCTTAAAACTTTCAAGAAGATAGGTAAAACTATAATTATTTAGAATTAGTTTAGCTAAAAAGCCAGCCTCTCTATTTTGGCTGAGTTATTCTATGTTTATGTAACTATAGGAGGAATAATCATATCTACTTTTTCAGGGTCATTATCTCCTCCATTATAAGTAATAGAATATAAATTAAATTCATGCTGTCAAATTAGGCATGAAAAGAAACCCATATAGGGCCAAAGGGAATCAAGAAGTTGTCTTAAAGTGACTTCCACTTTACCATCCCCTTCTCATCTTGCTCCCTCTGCAACTCATACCAAGTGAAGCTGAAGGAGGATCAGGAAAAAAGGCATTTCTCCAACTTCACTCCTTTTGCCTCCAACCTTCACCATCAAGGCCCAGTACTATGACATAATTAGGTAGGAAGTTAGGGCTCACTGGTGTTTCAAGCATATGTTTGAGTCATTCTTTTGGTTTCTTTTGATTAGGCAATATCAAGAGCTACAGCATAAGTCAAGGAATTATGTGCTAAACCTTAGCATGCATCCCACAAGCAAGACAGATTTTTCAGGTGAAAAAAAATAAGTATAAATATGCTTGCTGAGCTTCACATCATGCAAAAATCTCTTTTTTATTTTTTTTATTTTGTTTTGCTTTGCTTCACCTTTGTCATTTGATGATGATAAGCTATGAAAATTGCTAGGAGGGTTAACATCATGGTATTGCACACCCTCACAGGATGATGAGCAAAACATTATTAAGAATAAATAACTTCGGGGATCCCTGGGTGGCGCAGCGGTTTAGCGCCTGCCTTTGGCCCAGGGCGCGATCCTGGAGATCCAGGATCGAATCCCACGTCGGGCTCCCGGTGCATGGAGCCTGCTTCTCCCTCTGCCTATGTCTCTGCCTCTCTCTCTCTCTCTCTCTCCCTGTGTGTGACTATCATAAAAAAAAAAAGAATAAATAACTTCGGGCAGCCCTGGTGGCACAGTGGTTTGACGCTGCCTGCAGCCTGGGGTGTGATCCTGGAGACCTGGGATTGAGTCCCACATCGGACTCCCTGCATGGAGCCTGCTTCTCCCTCTGTCTCTCTCTCTCTCTCTCTCTCTCTCTCTCTCTCTGTCTCTATGAATAAATAAATAAATAAAATCTTAAAAAAAAGAATAAATAACTTCTTATCCTTGCATTAGAATCCTTTGTGCCAAGCAATAATGGTAATACATCCTAATATGTATACCTTCTCATTTAAAGTTTTATCTCTGGTTGTTTAAAATTTAGTACAAATGAAAGAAACACTGTAATAGATACATCTTCAATTATCTTTTTTTTTGTTGTTGTTTTTAAACTGTCAGATCCTTGGGGCATTAGTTTAAAATGAGAGAATAAGACTACATCCTCTTCTCTGAATTGTAAAGAACATCCTCAAATGCCAACTATTTCTATGTTGTTTTTAATCATCTCATCATCAAAATGATCATTCTTTTATGCCAATAGTACTTAACAATGTGATAAGCTGGTATACAGTATACTACCTTTGACTACTGTATTAAAAATAAACATATTTGAAAGAATTCTCATTTTCTAACTACAAAATGTTCTTAGTTTTTATAAATTAAATTTTTTCTTGAGTTTTTGTCTAGCCTTTAATAAATTATTAAAAGGTTTTGTACATTTTCTATTTAACACTAGAAAGAGGCAAAATGTAGTAGTAGTATGTATTTACGTATAAAACACAATTCTAAAGTAGCAAATGAGAAGAAAAGGCTTAGAGGCTGAATTTTAACTTATAAACAATTATAACAATTACTAGAGATAATTTGTTTATTCTGACCATTCTATAATTTGGTTACAATTACCTTTTGAATTGGAAGGAAGACTGTATGATTGTATTAAAACAGAATTAGCTATCCTAGCTAACAATTTCATAGTTTCTTTATATGTGATTTAACCTAAAATCTAGGATAATAATAAAATGAACTTTCTGTTCTGAACACTCTGCGAGGAATGATGGGCAGAGGGTGTTGCAATGAACTGCCAGAAGGGAAGGGGACTACCAGTTCTATGGGTGTCTACTCACATCAACTTTACAGCAGCAAGAAACACCATGAAGTCATAATACTGGTGCCCATAGCACTTTTAATGGAATAGCCAGTTAAAGACTTCTGACTCAGAAGTTCAATGAGGGTGGTGGTAAGAGTGCAAAGGCGCCAATAGCATCATAGGGCATTAATGGCTCTCAAAAGGCCAAATGTCCTGTATTTTCCACACTTGTAACCTCTTCCCATTTGGCCTTCTGAGAGCCACTAATGCAAATAAATCAATCCATACCTAATTAAGCCTTCCATTTTTAGACAAAGACAAATTTACTCTATATGACTCTACACATAAAAACATACCTTGAATGCTTTGGTGGTTCAGTGAAAGTTTAGCCTGGGAAAATGATACAGTGAACAATGGAAAACTTTTTCTGTTCCTAAAAAATAAATCAATTATTTAATAAATAAATACAAATTTAGAAATGAAAAGAAAAAAACACTATTCTAATTTAAGTATAATTTAAGCTTTTTTATCTACAGGAATTTCAAAACTGCATAATTTTTTTGTTCCATCATCTCAATTACTTTTATAATTACTATGATTTTGGTAACATTTACATTTCAAGTGACTGCAAAAATGAAGGAACAAGCTAAAAAATTAATGGATGAAGAATCAGGAGTACTAACAAGATAACCAAAAGTTTAGGTGTGAAAGTCACTTTGGGATGACTATGTGCCAAATAAGGGTAGTGGGGGAGAAAAAACTGGTCCTGAATTATATATCTTGGCTATCTAAATCCTCAAATACACTGAAAGTTTGTCATTATAGTTTTAGATGTAAGTGCGAGTCACTAATGAGAAAATTCTCAGATATTATTTTTCATTCTTTATTTCTCAGTAGGCAAAGAACATGTATGAAATATTGATGGAAAGATATTGAAAGCAAAATAAGGTTCATACCAAATCTGCAATTTTTATCATCTGCCTCGGGATAATTAAAAGTTGACTGAAGAAAAGCAATCAGTTAACTATCTTTTTCTCAATCTAATATACTATGCAAACACAATCAAGATATCTCCCTTTAAAAAAAAAGCCACTTGTTTCAGCTGGGTTTTTTTAAAATATATTTTTATTTATTTATTCTTGAGAGACACAGAGAGAGGCAGAGACACAGGCAGAGGGAGCAGCAGACTCCCTGCGGAGAGCCCGATGTGGGACTCGATCCCAGGACTCCGGGATCATGCCCTGAGCCAAAGGCACATGCTCAACTGCTGAGCCACCCAGGTGCCCTCAGCTGTTTTAAGAGTAGTTTTTATACACCAGCTACTTGAAGCCTAAGCAAGAATAATAAATTGAATACTCTCTCCAGTCTAAAAACAGAAGTGATCAATATAAGCTACCTTGAAAATGGAAATGAAACTGCTCATATATATTTACAGAATAATTTCTAGAAGGCAAATAGAAAAGAATGCTGATTTTTTTCCCTAAAATGAAATTCTTTGAGAAGAACAAGCTGATTTAAAATAAAACTGAATCATACTTTGACTCAACAACAAAATTTTTTTCCTTAATTACAAAAGAAAACTTAAGACATAAGTCTAAAAATTGAGCAAATTCAACGATATTATTAAAAAAGTTATTTATATTAGGCAAGACAACAATGTACATGTCTAAGTAAGGAGGAATACTTAAACACACTATCGTACAATCAAGTTATACTGTGAAATACTGTGAGTCCATTAAAATTCATGTTTTTAAAATATATGACATGAGAAGATAATTACAAATTATTACTTAAAATTTTTAAATAGGATACAAAAACTATCTGCAGAATTATTCCAATTTCATAGAAAATATAAATAAAAACAAAACTATATAGAAAGTCTAAAATAAAATGTAGTGGGTTGAGCCTCTGCCTTTGGCTCAGGTGGTGATCCTGGGGCCTAGGATCTCGCAAAGCAAGAGTATCCGAAGTTTCTAAAACGTTTACGTCTTATGTCCAAGAAAAAACTGCAGGAAAACCCATTCTGTTCTAGTGTTAACAGGTACTAGAAGATATATGTTATTCTTTTTAAAAAACTTTGACTAAGGGCAACCCCGGTGGCGCAGCGGTTTAGCACCACCTGCAGCCCAGGGCATGATCCTGGAGACCCTGGATTGAGTCCCACATCAGGATCCCCGCAGGGAACCCGCGTCTCCCTCTGCCTGTGTCTCTGCCTTTCTTTGTGTCTCTCATGAATAAATAAATAAAATCTTTAAAAATAAATAAAATGAAATATAGCAAAATGTTAACAATGTTTCCCTCTGGGCAGTGGAGTTATGGATGCTGTGTTAGTCTCTAAGTTTTCCTTTTTTCCCCACTTCTATAGATAAACTTATAGTGCTGATACATTCAGTAATAGGGTTATTTAAACATAGTGGCTCTCAAACTTTTTGATCTTTTGTCTCCTTTTAACTCTTAAAAATTATTGAGGAACCCAAAGAGCTTTTGTTTATGTGCATATAATTATTTATATTATATATTTGAAGTTAAAATAAGAAGACTTTTAAATAATCATTAATTTAAAAATAGCAGTAAAGGCACATTTATCATGAAGAGCACTGAATAATATACAGAACTACTGAATCACTACATTATACATCTGAAACTACTGTAACACTGTATATTAACTATACTGGAATTAACATAAAAACTTAACAAAGTTAAAGATAACTAAATAAAAATATATAACAGTAATAATTCTGAAACATGTTAATATGTTTTATGAAAATTTATTATATTTTACAAAATGAAAAACAGTAGTGAAAAGAATGGCACTTTTTTTAAAATTTTTATTTATTTATGATAGTCACACACACACACACACACACACACACACGAGAGACATAGGCAGAGGGAGAGCAGGCTCCATGCACTGGAGCCGACGTGGGATTCGAGCCAGGTCTCCAGGATCGCGCCCTGGGCCAAAGGCAGGCGCTAAACCACTGCGCCACCCAGGGATCCCAAGAATGGCACTTTTTTAAAGGTATGGCTTCACAGAAGACAGCTGTCACCTCACCTGCTACCACATTCACTCTTTTGTCACACGGTGTTTTATTTGAAGTATATAACAAAAATCTAGCCTCACACAGATACACAGTTGGAAAGGAAGGAGTATTTCAGTAGCCTTTTTGGGTAACTGTAGTATCACCCCAAAACAAGTATTACGCCAAAATTCTAAAAGGAATAACTTCCTTAAAGGTTACTGGAAATTGAAACTCCATCAATGAAAGTTTTGTATTCTGTACTATGACTCTCTTGCACTTTGAATGGACCCTTCATCTGCATGTGATTTTGTGACATTATGCATTTGTCTTTTAGAAAATACTGATTCACTGAGTTATGCAGAGCTTCCTTATACTTTTTTTTTCTAAGATTTTATTTATTTATTCACGAAAGACACAACACAGAGAGGCAGAGACACAGACAGCGGGAGAAGCAGGTTCCATGCAGGGAGCCCAATGTGGGACTCGATCCCGGGACCCCGGGGTCACACCCTAAGCCGAAGGCAGGCCCTCAACTGCTGAGCCACCCAGGTGTCCCTGAGCTTCCTTATACTTATAATCCATGTATGTATATATATATATATATATACACATACACACATATATATATAGATTATATATATATAATGTGTGTATATATATACATATATACACACACACATATATGTAAGGGTTTTGATTAAACATCAAAAAGATCACCTTTGTCACTTGACGGGATGAGCACTGGGTGTTATTCTGTATGTTGGTAAATTGAACACCAATAAAAAATTAATTTATTAAAAAAAGATCACCTTTGTAAATAAATATTATCACTGAACTCACTGGAAAATTTAAAGTACTGTGAAGTCATCAAGGACAATAAAAACAAGTTTTCCTACATTAATTTTCACTTGAAAGCTTCAATATTTTCATTGGCAAACAAATACCATCAGCAGTTTTCCATGAAGTGATTGGCTTGTTTCATTGATTTTCAAGAAAATGTCTGTCATATACTCAAGTGTGAATACTACTTTGTTGATTATTCTTTCAAGTTAAAAGAAAAGGTGAGCTAATTTTCTTACAATGTTTACAACTCAAACTACACAAGTGCTCTCCTTAAGACAAGGACCACACTTTGGTATGCAAAGAAATACTTAGGCATGCTTCCCCCACATCACACAGCATAACAAGAAGATATATATTCAAGGGTAGAAATTTAATAAAACAATAAATTTTCTGCTTCATCAAATGCACTAGATGAAGCTAGCTTTTTCCTTCCTTGTCTTTTTTAACTGCTAGCTCATGGCAATGAAAAATACAGCGACTACTAGTACTATTTGGTGCCATTGCCCTACTGAGCCTAAGTAAGGCTTCAATATTTTACTTACCATTTAGCACTGAATATGCAAATGCCAGTACTATGAAATAGGCAAATAAGGGTTAGTATTATTATGAAAATAGTTTTGATCTCACAGACGCTCTGCAAAAAGTCTCAAGGATTCCCAAGGGGTCAACACACCATACTTTGAGAACCACAGTTTTAAAAGAACTGAAAGGATAAAGCCTTTTAAAGTGCAATAGTCCTATAAAGTCCAATTTCAATAAGGTCTACAAATTCTTCCTTCATGCTATGCTATAAATTTTCTTTTTAAGTAATATTAATAGAAAATCAACCTAATCTGAACCAATCATGCTCATGAAATGAAACTTACCTAGAATGTTTATAAATAACATCTGTATGCTGCTAAAGGGGCAACTATTTAAAAATACACAATAACTCTAAGACTCTTAAGAAAATGAAGATTCATTTTAGTGTGCAAAATTACAAAAAAACTACAATATAATAAAGTTAAAAATTAGTATACTTACTGGAACAGAGCTTGATTTTGTTCCATTTCATCTTGAGGTTGCTAGCAGGGAAAAGGTAGTGTTCTTTTAACTCATAAATACTAATACAATGCACCAATTAAAAATTTAATGTTTAAAATAATTCTTAAAAAATAATTTTTGTGTTATTCTTTCTCAACATCTTCTCTGTTGTGATAAAATATACGTAACATAAAATTCACCGTTTTAACCATATGAACATGTACAGTCCTGTAGCATTTTGTGCACATTGTTGTACAACCATCACCAGCATCCATCTAAAGTATTCTTTAATCTTTTCCAACTGAAACTCCAGACCTAGTATTAACTCTTTATTCACCCCTCTCCCAACTCCTGGTACCTACCCTTCTTTCTGTCTCTCTATTACTCTGTCTCTACTGTAACTACTCTAAGTACCTAATATAAAAGGAACCATACAATATTCATCCTTTTGTGTCTGAACTTATTTCACTTAGCATAAGATCTTAAAAGTTCACCCAGGTTGTACCATGTATCACTATTTCCTCCTTTTTTTAAAAAAAATATTTTATTTATTTACATATGAGAGGCACAGACACAGCAGAGAGAGAGAGAAGAGGGCTCCATGCAGGGAGCCTGACAGGGGATCCCAGGATGACAACCTGAGGCAAAGCAGATACTCAAACACTGAGCCACCAGGTGCCCCTATTCCCTCCCTTTCTAGTTGTTTGTATGTACCACATTTTGTTTATCTGCTCATCTGTTGGTGGATGCTTGGGTTGCTATCACCATTTGGCTACTGCGAATAATGGTTGAATGAACGTGGATATACAAATATATTTTTGACTCTCTGCTTTCATTTATTTGGGGTATAAACCCAGAAGTGGAGTTTTTGGACCATTTGATACTAAGTTTAATTTTTGAGGACCCATCATACCATTTTCCACAGGAATTACACCATTCTACATTTCCTATCAGCAGTGAGAAAGAATTCCAATTTTCTACATCCTCACCAGCACTGGTTGCTTTGTTTTTTTGATAATAGCTATCATGATGAGTGTAGGTAGGATCTCACTGTGGTTTTGATGTACATTTCCCTAATGATTCGTGATGTTGAACATCTATTCATGTGCTTATTGGCCACTAATCTATCTTCTGTTTGTGCCCTTTGTCCACTTTTAAATCAGTTTGGTTTTGGGGGGGTGGGTTATGTATAATTTTTTTTCTAAGCTGTAAGAATCTTTATATATTCTTGGTAGCAATCCTTTACTAGATACATTATTAACATTTTCTCCCATTTCTGGGGTTGCCTTTTCACTGTTGATAATGTCCTTTAATCCACAAACATTTTTAAGTGTCATGGGTCTATTTGTCTATTTCTCCTTTTGTTGTCTGGTCTTTCATGTCTAAGAAATCATTGCCAAATCCAATGTCATGATACTTTTCCCCTATATTTTCTTCTAAGAGTTTAGCTCGTTTAGTTTTTTTTTAAATTTCTTTCCATAAAATAACTTATGGAAATTAAGTTAGGAGAAAGGATGTGTCCCTTCTTTTTATTCCTATGGATTTATTTCATTAATCCATAATGGTTCTGATAAGCCTTCTTTTCTTGTCCGGTTCTCAGTTCTAATATTTCCCCTGTAGGCCAAAAATTATACAACCTCTGTTACAATGTTAAATGCCAAAAGCTAAATGGATTCTAATTCTCAAGTCAGGCCAGAGAATCTGAAGTTGTATCCCTTTCAGAAAGAAAGATACAATGCACTGATAAAATGCCTCCATTTTAGGTTTCACAGCACAGTGGCTTTCATCACTCTAAAAAGAATTCTTTTTTTTAATTTTTTATTTTATTTATTTATTTATGATAGTCACAGCGAGAGAGAGAGAGAGAGAGAGAGAGAGAGAGAGGCAGAGACACAGGCAGAGGGAGAAGCAGGCTCCATGCACCGGGAGCCCGACGTGGGATTCGATCCCGGGTCTCCAGGATCGCGCCCTGGGCCAAAGGCAGGCGCCAAACTACTGCGCCACCCAGGGATCCCCAGAATTCTTACACTTAGTATCTTGTTATCATGAAAGTGAATGGTAATAAGATCTTAGAAAAAGATCTTCCTTTGGGGCCCTTCCATGTTTCTATGATCAATAACAAAGCTTTCTGAAAATAAAGCCTTTAAGCCTGAACTTCCAAGCATTGTTTGATCAATGAAACAGTCATAATAACAAGAAAACAAAGTACTATGAGAACTTCAATCTTCTTCAATGAACATTCATTGTTCTTTTCTGATAATGCATCATTACATACTTCAAGGTTATCACATTGGTTCTCCATATATATACTTCCCAAGCAGACGTTCAGAGTCCCAGAGACAAGAAGGAATTTCAAGAAGTAAACCTAGGAATTCCCAAGGACTAATTAGAGTATTTATACACTCACTAGATACTTCTGCATCTTCACAAAATAATTCATTCAAACACCTGTAATACCCAGTTCATTTACATTACTATAGATCAATGACTTGACCCTACTAAGGAAAATGCACAAAATAAGAGAGCAAAGAAGAAGGAAGTTTGTCTCCAAGAGTCTACTTTTTTTCCTTCTCTGTAGGCAAAAATTACACTTAGGAGCTGATGCCTCTGAATATAACAGGGAGGGAATTGGTCATTTGTTAATTAACAAAACCACAAAGATACATTTCAATCAACTCTTTCCTAAGGGATCCAAATCACTATCTACCCTTTTGATTCATGTGACTGTCATTTTTCTCCTGTCCTTTCCACCCCTGTATTTTGATTGGCCATTAAGCTGAACAGTTTTTGTTTTATTTCATCTGTGGAGGGGCGGGGAGTAGGGTGTGGGAGATGAAAAAGTTTAAATATGCTAATTTGGAGGATCTGGAAAAGAGACAAATCTATTTATATATCCTCAAACAAAAAAACGATCATCCAATATCTGAAACCAATTCAACTGAATTATGGATCACTGGAAGTGTAGTGGAAGTCAAACCCTGGCCAGACTTCTGGCTCACCAGAAGGCATCAGATATCTCATACAACTATGCTCACATTCAGTATAGCAGAATAAACATTCCTAGTATTTAAGTGTTTTATTTATTGATGAGTTACTGATAACATCACTTAAAATATCTTTTTCTCAAATTGATAAAACACAATAATACTAGGGGACTTTAACAACTTTGTATGGTGACTGCTGGTAACTAAGCTTACTGTGGTGACCATTTCATAACGTATATACATATCAAATCATTATGTTATACACCTGAAGCTAATACAATATTGTCTGCCAATTATTGATTAAAAAAATAAAATTTGAGATTCAAGATAGAATATAATATTTCTCTAATGAGAATGTTGTCAGTATAATAAAAAGACAGCTGAATTATCTTATTCTAAAAAGGCAACTATGCAATTTTCCCCTGAAGTCTTGAATCTGTGTAAAATTAACCATCTTCTTTCATAAAAACATCTGTATGAATAAAAAGTATTTTATCTCAAAACATTCAATAAAAGTGTTACTTCTTATCCTCAGAGGAAAAAAAACTATTTTCCCTTCCTTCCTTAAGACTTTGTGGGTTCTCTCTGGTTAGCTGACTTATTTATGCCAACGTGCTAACTGAATAACCCATAACCTTTGCCCAGGGTGACCGCATTAAAAAAAATACAAATGTGTATGTATACGTACACAGGCATTCACACACATATAAGGTAACAGAAGGGCCTTTCAGTAGACCATATCTCAAAATATACCATGCAGACTAACATCTTCACAAATTGAAAATGATCTCTGGCATACACTGGAGATGAAAATCCTAATTACTATATTCTATTTTAACCTGTTTTTCTCACATCCACATATGGAGAGGAGAGAGAGGAGAGGAGAGGAGAGGGGAGGGGAGAGGAGGGGAGGGGAGGGGAGAAGAAGAGAGGGGAGAAGAAGAGAGGAGAGGAGAGGAGAGGAGAGATGAAATATTTTAAACACCCCCTTCTAAAACACCTGCCTTTCACCAAAGTTGCAAAAAAGAAACAGAATGACTAGCTAAGAAAGGGTAAAAACTGAGTAAGAGAATAAAGAAGAAAACTAACAGACAAAAAGAATTAACCGTTAGTAATTTGTCACTCTTTGAAACAGCAATTCCAATTTTTAATAAGCAAGTATTTAACCAACAGGCTACATACCTGTAGGAGTGCAGTCTCACTAAGAGGCATTATTTTATTTTTACTCATTTGTCCTCGTGGATTCTCTCTGAGTTTGAACCCAAGTTGAATCTCAGGAGAAGATGTTCCTGGAATGAAATATCATCGTAAATCACTTGCAACAGTTTAATTGCTCTGCTTTGACAATGACTCCAAGATTTTATAAAAACTACAAAATGTCATTAAAAAGTATTTTGTAAATTATAACTTCCTAGCTGCCACTTTTATATATCAAAGTTTTTAAGTTATTAATTTCAAAGACACACATATACTACACTGGAGGATACATATACATAAAGGTCTGAACAAAGGATACATAGAGACAATATATGGACTTAACCACCACCCCCCCAGAAGGAATACTTTCTTCTTTTTTAATTTCATGTGAGGTCATTTTTGAAAACTCATAATGCTAGTATATAACCCAAAAAACAGAATTTGTGTTTCTCAGATGGGAAACTGAACTCATATTTTTTTAAGATTTTTTAAATGTATTTATTCATAGAGATGCAGAGAGAGAGAGAGAGAGGCAGAGACACAGGCAGAGCGAGAAGCAGCTTCATGCAGAGAGCCTGACTTGGGACTCGATCCAGGGTATCCAGGATCACACCCTGGGCTGCAGGCAGCGCTAAACCGCTGTGCCACTGGGGCTGCCCTGAACTCATATTTTAACTTTTTTTCCCTTCCCTGTTCCTAAAAAAGAATCCAAAGAAATTTTTTGTTGTTTTCTTGAAATTAGTTTTTTCTTTTTTAAATGTGAAGTAGCAATGAGAAGAGAGGAAATACACCCAATATAGATCAGAAGAGGAAGACTGGATTAAAGGGAAACCAAACATTGGTAAACAGCATGTACTCTACATAGGAAAAGGAGAGGCTCCTTAAGAAATAATTACATGGATTTCTTCCATGAGACTCTCAGAAAACCACCCAGCTTAGAGCAAATCCCATCAACCAAAGATGGAAGAGAGTGTACTAGAACTTTGCACTGAGTAGTCTCATACTTCACTGAGATTGCTGTTTGTACCAAAGGAGCATTCATTCAGAATGAATGCTATAGCCAGTTACTCTGTGTAAGAGGGTATCTTCCCTATCAGATACAGAAATGTACTAAAAGCCAAGGTTGATAAATAATGTAGTGATGGAACACTAGTAAAAATAGTCAAATAGAACAATGAAACTAAACAAGAAGTGGAAAACAGACCTATACGTCTATCTGGGAATTTAATATAAGTAAATAATGATATTTTAGACAGTGGCAACAAAATGTGTAAATATAAATGCAAACAAAGATAATATACTTTTACGGTCTTGTGGTAGGTAAAATACTTCCAAGTTTGAAAGAACCAAGAAACCCCAGAAGACTGACAGGTCTTACTACATAAAAACTGAGAGTGCCTGGGTGGCTCAGTTGATAAAGCATCTGCCTTCAGCTCAGGTCATGATCTCAGGGTCCTGGGACAGACCCCAGATCCAGATCTGGCTCCCTGCCCAGCAGGGAGTCTGCTTCTCCCCTTCCTTCTGCGCCTACCTGCCCCATCCCCCACCTCTGCTTGTGCTCTCTCCCTCTCAAATAAATAAATAAAATCTCAATTTCTGCATACAAAATATATCATGAATAACTAAAAGTTAACTAGGAAACTGAGTGAAACTATTTGCAATACATATATATGACAGTTGTATTACCTTTAGTGTATAAAATGATCTTATAAATCAAAAATAAAATGAGAATAATTTAGGAGACATAAGGCAATTCACATGCACACAAACTATGAATAGTCAATATTAAAATGTGTCTAAACTTGGTATTCTTCAAAAAAATGCAAATTAGAACAATCAGATACTTTACTTAGCGGTTTGGCAAAGACTGAATATATCCTTTATTGGATCTAGAGGAAAAAGCCATCTTTTTTAGGGATAATATATGTCAAAATCTAACATGTGTCCATCCTTTAAAAACAAATCGAATTTTAGCTATTTATTCTAAGGAAATAATCAGAAAAGCAGGCAAAAGTGTAAATATTAGAATATTCACATTTATTAGAGTTTTGAGAACAAAAATATAATTAATTCATTAAATAAGGATACATTCATACAGAATAATGTGTAGCACTTTATTTTATTTTTAAAGATTTTATTTATTTATTTGTGAAAGAGAGAGAGAGGCAGACACACAGGAAGAGGGAGGAGAAGCAGGCTCCATGCAGGGAGTCCGATGCAGGACTCAATCCTAGAACTCCAGGATCACGCCCTGAACCAAAGGCAAGATGCTCAATTGCTGAGCTACCCAGGCGACCCAATATATAGCACTTTAAAAGGTTGAGGTAGATCAATATAACAAGGAAAGAAATATATTTACCACAATACCAATTATGAAAAAAGATATTCAAGTTGGCATACAAAGTCTAGAAAAATACACAAATACTAAACACTGGCAATTGTTGGAAGTGGAATTGTAGGGAAGAGTAGGGAAGTGTAAATGTGACTTTACACTTTCTACATTATATAAGTTTGAAATAAAAAAGCTTTTATTCTTTTAATATTAGCAAAAATAATAAAAAGTCTATCAATTTGGGAAAAAAGAAGAAGGAAAGCAAAGAAAAAAACTTGGTTGCAATATTAAAACATACCTCTAACTTCTTCCTAGTGGTACTTTATATATCATAAAAGCACGTTCTGGAGACTACTACTACACATTGTTCTTTCATCAATATTTCATAGTTTCCAGAATATAGGTCTTTCACTTTCTTGGTTAAATGTACTGCTAGGTCTTTTACTCTTTTTGCTATAATTATAAATGGGATTGTTTTCTTAATTTCTGTCGGCTACTTCGCTATTACTATATAAGTCAGACTAAGAAAGATAAATACCATATGATTACACTCTTACATGGAATATATAAAAAAAGGAAACAAACAAATACACAAACAAACAAAAAAAAGATGAATCAGACCTGTAAATACAGAGAACAAACTAACTGATGCCAAAGGGACAGAGATCAGGAGAATGGACAAAATGGGTGAAAGGGAGTGGAAGACACAGGTTTCCTGCTATGGAATAAAATGAGTCACAGGAATAAAAGGCACAGCATAGGAAATAACAGTCATTGATATTGTAAAACATTGTATGCAACAGATGGTAGCTAAAACTGTGGTGAGCCTAGCATAACCTATAAAGAAGTTGAATCACTTTGATATACACCTGAAACTAATATAACATCATGTGTCAATTATACTCAAATTTTTAAAATTAAATATATATAAATATATCAAGAATATTTAATATTTCAGTCTGAAATAATCATATTGGTTACTAAAAAGTACTATTCACTTTTGCAAATAAAAAAGTTCTAGGAGGGATCCCTGGGTGGCGCAGCGGTTTGGCGCCTGCCTTTGGCCCAGGGCGCAATCCTGGAGACCCGGGATCGAATCCCACGTCGGGCTCCCGGTGCATGGAGCCTGCTTCTCCCTCTGCCTATGTCTCTGCCTCTCTCTCTCTCTCTCTCTGTGTAACTATCATTAATAAATAAAAGAAATTTTAAAAAAGACACTAATGCTATATTAAAAATAATAATAAAAAAATAAAAAAGCTTAAAAAAAAGTTCTAGGATTTTGTAAATTTTTGCAAAAAGAAGAGATATCTGGGTATCATTTTCCTATCTCTGTAGCCCTCTCTAGGAGTCATAGCATCTGCCAGAAATTATAATTCTCCTTGCTATCCTTATAGTAATAGACCTTAGGGTCTATTACAGATGAGTAAAAAAAATTAATTCTGTGTAAAGCTAAAAACAAAACTAATTATAAAAGAAGCTGATAGAATAATAACACTTGAGAAATTAAAGGGACTACTTAGTGAAAAAAATTATATCTCACCTTTGCACATTCCACTTCTATCTGGATGGAGACTGTACTCAGATCTAAGAGATGTGTCTTGATCAAAGAGCAACCTTTCAGATACCAAATAGAAGATACAAATTGTTATGTTTCCTAAACAAAGACTAACAATTTAACAACAGTTTTTTACTATACCAAACTTGCTAAAATTCTTCGTTATACCACTATTAATATCTGTACCAAAATATTGTTTCAGATGTGTACCCTCTAATTAAAATTTATAGATAGACCTTAAAGACATTATACTAGTGCTTGCTTGCTTTGGCAGCATATATAATAAAATTGTCATGATAAAGATTAGCATGGCCTCAGCACAAAGATGACACACAAATTCATGAGACATTCCATATTAAAAAGAATTATATTAAGTGAATGAGCCAGATACAAGTGGGAAAATATTATATGATTCCACTTAGCTAGAGTAGTCAGGTCCATAGTGATTGAAGGTAGAATGGTGATTGACAAAGGGCTGGGTGAAGGGAGGAATGGGAAGTTAGTGTTTAATGGGTATACAGTGTTAGTTTGGGAAGATGAAGTTCTAAAGTCAGATAGTGGTAATGGGCACACAACAATGCAAATGTACTTAATGCCACTTAACTGTATACTTAAAAATGGTTACAATGGTAAATTTTATGATATATATCTTTTACCACAATAAAAATAAAATTTTAAAAATCTTTTCAGAATTTAACAGTGTACCAACGCATGAATATATGATTTGGTACTAAAAGGGTTTTTTCTCTTTATTCACTTGTCTCTTGTCTTGTTTCTTCACCTACCTGTTCTCTCCCTTCCCATTTTTTAAATTGTTTTGTCCTTCCAATGTTTTTTGAAAATGTAAGCAACATGAGTATACCTGCCCTCACCCATTCTTAGATAAACAGTAGCATTCTATATATACTTCTTCTTCTTTTTTTCCTTAACAATAAATCCAGGAGATTGACCACTCTAAGGGAAAGAGACTTCCTTCATTCCTTTTTATAAATTCATAGTGCCCCACTATGTGGATTCTCACATAGTTTCTCTTTTAATATTTATTTATTATTTCTTATTTAATATTTATTTATCTAAGTAATCTCTATACCCAACATGGGGCTTGAACTCACAACCCTGATATTAAGAATCTCATGTTCTCGTAAAACAATCAATGTGAATCATCATATCAGCAAGAGAAAAACCAAGAACCATATGATCCTCTC